TCGACTCGACGATCGGGCAGTATCGTGTTCGACTTGACGATCGTGTTCAGGTCGACTATCGTGTTCGACTCGACGATCGGGCAGTGTCGTGTTCGATTCGACGAGCGTGTTCGACTCAATTGTCGTATTCGACTCGACAATCAGACGTCGGGCACGACCGTGTTCGTGTCGGGCACTGTCGTGTTCGACTCGACGATCGGGCACGATCGTGTTCGACACGACGATCGGAAACGATCGTATTGGACTCGACGATCGGGCGCGATCGTATTCGACTCGACGATGGGGCACCATCGTGTTCGACTCGACAACCGGAAGTGCCATGTGGCGTTACGTGGTTGAATCTGGGCTGCGTGGTTGTGTCCTCACCGTCCGATCCTTCAAACTCGGGGTGCTCCGTTGTGGTTGTGCGTCGCGATCTCGGGCCGTATGCTCGCTACGTCCTCGCGCTGAACACGCCTCTCGACAGCGCTGTGATCCGCCGTCGCGTCGAGCAGGTGGTCGGCTATGCACGGACCGAATCCCTACGCTCTGTTGCCGCGCTGTACACGAGCCTCCACTGCGCTGCGCTGTGGCACGAGCCTCCGCTGCGCTGCGTCGACGAACCTCCGCTGCGCTGCTCTACTGCTGCCTTGCCGAACTGAAACGAAAATGGGAACCGGTGGCCCTCCCTCATATTTATCGTTTTTCGGGAGGGCCCTTCGCGAGCACCTGCTGGCCGTCCGATCCGGGAATATTGACGGTCGGGATTCTCCGATGGGGAGTGGTGGGCCTTCCTCATATAAGTGGTTTTCCGGGTGGGCCCTCCACGCGCGCCTGCAGGCCGTCCGATCCGGGAATACGGACAGTCAGGGCAATCCAATGCCTGCAGTCGGCCGCGATCGTTTTCCCACCTTGGCCAGAGCGGAGGCGCGGGGATGACGTTCAGCTGCAGAGCAGAAATGCGATTCGTGCACATGAGCTCCCGCGACATTGTGTCATCGTTCGCGTTCTGGGAGAATCAGCGCAGCCATCCGCCAATGTCGACACGACAACTGCCCCGCTCTCCAGGTTAGTGCCGCTTCGGCCAACACGCCCCCCCCCCCCCCCCCCCCCCCCCCCCCGCCCCGCGAGAGAAAGAGAAAAGCCTCCGTGTCCAGTGCTGGTTTATCGGTGACGTCAACAAGTTTTCTCGAATACTTTCACCCCAGTCGTCGTCGTGTCGAACACGATGGTCGACACCGTCGTTGTCGTGTCAAACATGATGGTCATCGTGTTGAACACGGTCGTTGTCGTGTCTGACACACTGGTCGTCGTGTCAAACACGACGGTCGTCGTGTTGAACACGATCGTTATCGTGTCCAACACGATGGTCGTCGTATCAAACACGATCGTCGTACACGATGGTCGTCGTGTTGAGCATGATCGTTGTCGTGTCCGACACGCTGGTCATCGTGTCAAACACGATGGTCGTCGTGTTGAACACGATCGTTGTCGTGTCCGACACGCTGGTCGTCGTGTCAAACACGATGGTCGTCGTGTTGAACNTCGTCGTGTTGAACACGATCGTTGTCGTGTCCGACACGCTGGTCGTCGTGTCAAACACGATGGTCGTCGTGTTGAACACGATCGTTGTCGTGTCGAACATGACGGTCGTCGTGTCGAACACGATCGTCGTCGTGTCCGACACGGGTCATCGTCGTGTCGAACATGATGGTTGTCGTGTCGAGCACGATCCTTGTCGTGTCGAACACGATCGTCGTCGGGTCGAACACGATCGCCGTCGTGTCGAACACGGCCGTCCTCGTGTCGCACACGACCTCCATCGTATCGAGCACGGTCGTCTTCTTGTCCGACACACTCGTCGACGACGATCGTCGTGTCCGGCACGATGGTCGTCAGGTCTGACACGGTGGCCGTCATGTCGACCACGCTGGTCGTCGTGTCCGCCACAGTCAAACGCGGTCTTGGTCGTGTCGAACGCCATCACGGTCGTGTCGAACACCCTGCTCTTTTTCGCCTCGACCCCCACCTATGTTTCAACTTGCGCAGAGTTTAGTGCGAGTTGCGCCATGCGCCTTTGGCACGGATTGGGCCTGATGACAGGATTGCTGCCCAGATTCCACGGTCGTGTGTTATCCTCTCTCGGATGTTTCCTGTTCTCCTCCGTCCAGTGTAGGGCTGTGTTTCTCAAGGTCATTTGTAGGGTTGTGTTTCTCGCTGTTGTGTAGGGATGGTTGTCTGCTCCATTTCATTGACCTCTGATTTTCGCCTTTTGACAGTGGTCCGCTGTTTTATTGTCGCAGACACGTCTCGTGCATGGCTTGTGGTGTGCATGCTATGCCACGGCAGGCTTGCAGCACAACCTTGGAAAACACGGACTGTGTGGCGTCTAATACAATGCTCAATGAGGATTTTCCTCCACCGCACCTGCCAATGTGTTCACAAGATGTTCGAAGTGGTCACGATCATGTCGATAATGCTCCGGAATCTCCTGCTCGTAAGAGGTCACGAAATATTGCGTGTGCGGACACTACATGTGAAAGTGCGTATCCCGTCCTCCGATGCCCGGTTCGAACCTGTGATGCAAAGAGTGCTCAAGGTCAGGAGGGTAAGGCCTCCTCTACTGACAACGACGCATCCGATGTAGATCGTGTTGTATGGGTGCCGAGGAGTTCACTTCGAGATTTCGAGTACACAGGTCTTCTGTTTGGTGAGGGTGATGAAGGTGGTTCAGATTCAAGTGCTTCGGTGTCGTCTAGTGCTGATAGTTCTCCAGATAAAACCGATCTTCCGCAAACGTATGCTGACCGGAACAGTGACCACTGTTGTCGAAATGACGATGAGAATTGTGACGTGATCTCTGATTTCGATGACATTTTTCCAAAACGTCTGTCCTCAGAGAAGCATCCTTATGCTTTTCGTCTCAGAATGCCCCGGTCAAAGAAGATTCTGCAATCAGTTCATAAAAAACTCACCAAAAAAGCACTGGCGAGTGTGCATGGGCAGGTTTGCTGTAAGCGAGAGTGTTGCGCTCAAATGACCCTGGACGACATCAAAGTTGTCCGGAGCGCATACTACTCTAAGAACCAGCAGAGCAGGGACTCGTGGTGGGTTGAAACGTTGAAGAGGTTCACCTTCATAGAAGATGAAAAGGAGATTGTTTAACCTATTGTGGGGAGACGAAAGGTGTGCATTACTGCTTGGTGTTTCACACTGGGTGTATGTAGGAATACATTTCTCAAAAAAAGGATGACTTTGTCAAAAGGCTACAATATGCCGGAGCATGGCAGTACTGGACTCAGACGCACATCAGCAACATATGCGATGATGTACGGGAAACTAAGCTCCTTCGTGCGAGACAACGAAGATTCCATGCCCAATGACATGAAGACCAAAGAGGGGGAATCAAGAGTGGTGTTGAAATTGCCTGCTTGCTATAACAAGGTTGATATTTATAAGTTGCTAAAGTCGCAATTCGACAACACGGGTGCTCCTTGTGTTTCTCTCCAAGTTTTTTACAACATGTGGAGAACGCAGTTCTGGCATGTGAGATTCCATGACATTGATCAAAACTTTGCGAAATGCGAGAAATGTGTTGAATACAAAGAATCTATCAATTCCACAAAGTTTGTGCGTGTGCGTGAGTACTTTGTTTCGTTACGCGAGAAACACTTGGACGTGCAGCTCCAACATCGTGCTGCATATGAGGTGTGGAAGGATGAGTCGAAGAGACCGGGTTCCAACAGTTTGTGCATCATCATTGACGGCATGGACCAAAGCAAGACCAGTATTCCACACTTTGGAGGAGAGAACAAATCGAAGGCATTCGCAAATATTCCGATGTTGAAAACGAATCTAACAGCTATTATTGCACACGGTCGCTCACCATCGGTCCATGTTCACACATTGTACCCTTGCTATCCACATGATTCTAATGTTGTAGTGTCATCCATTATGAAAGTTCTTCGCGACATCCAGGCGACGAGCGACTTGCCTCCTAAACTGAGGATACAAGCTGACAACTGTTGGAGAGAAAACAAAAACAGATACGTTTTGGCACTCGCTGCAGCTTTGGTGAAATTTGGTTTCTTCAAAGAAGTCAAATTCGGTTTTATGTTAGTGGGACACACACATACGGACGTTAATGCCACTTTTAGTCATTTCTCTCGCAAACTTAAAATGCACGATGCATTTTAAGATGCTCGACCTCTTCAAGCTCGTTGCCAGTTCTCAAAAAGAACGTCCATCGTGCACATTCATGGATAAAATTTTTGATTGGCGAGCTACTGTTAAGCCCTTCCTGGTCAAGAGACTGACCGGTCATACTCGTCCACATGCATTTAGGTTTTATATGCAGGATGACAATCCTGTGTTCTAGTGGAAAGAGTATTACACTTCTCCTGAATGGTCTGCTCTAGTATATTGCTTTAAACGAGATGAAAACAAAGCATATGCTGGACCTGAATGACCATTCGTGCCATCACCTGTTCCGCCGTCAGCTTCTCTGCCTAGTAAAGATAGGAATTCGGATTTCGAATCGGGAATTGAAGGTGTGAAGACGTTTGTTGGGTGGCTGGAGAACAAGCGGCACGAGTGCTTGGGAATGAAAGATGAGGTTAGCTTCCCAAAGGAGAGTGCTCTTTCACACTGGAAAACTTTCCTCGAGACAGTCGAGGAGCATTACGGGTCTGGGTTTGCGAAAACTTCACTCAAGGCTGGCTTCTGGCCCTCACAAGACAAAATTAAGAAGGATGATCCAAATGATATTGATATTGTCTTCCTCTTGAAGAGCAATGAGAATAAGGAGCCGTTGTTTGTTGGACCGGCCAATGAGCGTCCAAAGGCGGAGCACAACCCAGTTGTGGATGTTGAAAAAGGTCAATTTGTTCTCTTGCGTCCTTCCCAAGATGATATCGATGAGGGAGTTCCTGTATGGATGGGTAGAGTCATTTCCGATGTAGACAACGATATGAAGTCGTCAACTTTCAATCATATTCTTATTGAATATTGGGTGCCACAACCTATTGCTAAACGTCTTTCTGTGCAATTTTTGAACGCATGGAAGAAGACGTGGAAGAAAGACAACACAACATCACAGTAGTGGCACCATGTAGACTGTGTTGTGTGGAGCTGGACATCAAAGACATTGCATTTAGAAAATGGAGTGCACATTCCAAAATCGGTCAGAGAGAAGGCCTTGGTATGCCTTTCACTTCCCGATAATGAAGATCAGTAGGTTTTCAATAGGTTTTGAAGAAGAGTTAATCGTTTTTCTTTACACGTATTAGTACGTTATTTAGTTGTCATTGAGCTTTTATTTATATATATTTAAACTGTATTTTCATGTGTTGCAGAATGGTTCAACCAATTGTGACGATTGGATGGCCGCCAAGTAACATGGTGTGAGGAAGAAATATATGGTATGATATGGGTCCAGTTTTCTTCACATCCGAAGTGATCTTTGATAGTGCAGTACTCAGTGTTAGAGGTGTGGATGCCCCACCGGAAGACTGTGAACATTCTCCTCGAGAGTCACTGCATATTTGTGGTCGGAGGTGTTGTGGAACGAGAACATACCCGCGAGAAGTGCTCGCACTCTTTTCGAAATTGTATTATTCAGCAGTCAAATTCTTCCACAACAATTTCAACGTGATGACCTTGTTTTGTGCAGTGGCAACTGTTCAAGGTCGATGCAAAATATCTTTGCTTATTCATAATGACTATTCTGCAAGTGCAAGTGTTTCCAATGCAGACAACATCGATGAACGACGACGGCAAGAATTCTGAAGGAGGATCATAGAGCAACCATCACTCAAAACACTCATGGATGGGCTTGTGCACACGACCATTAAATATTTGCGAAGTCTCCTACTGCGCGAATATGAAGTAATAGAAAGTTATATAGAGTACAAGGATCCGGCGATTGACGGACAAACTGATACCATCGTTGTAGAAGATTGGACAACTTATACAAGGACAGACTGAAATGTTGTCTTGATCGCATTAGTTTATCCCCTAAGTTAATCTAGTTACTAGGCATGTTATGTTTTGCCTACTTTCGGAGTGTCATTTGTGCTTTGCATTTTTTTTTTTTTTTTCTTACTCGGTCAATGGCCTTGAGACATCATCTAAGTTCGAATAGCCCAGTCCTGCATTAATATCAAGTTATTTGGTTATCCGATTTCAGCGACATTCGAACTAAGGTTTGTGTTTTGACAGTTTATGGATGACACTGCTTTCAAATTGCTTTTAATGTTGAACTTTTGCACGTGTTTTCATTTAATTGTGTTGTTGTAGTTAAGCAGGATTTTTGTACGTGTTTTTGGAGTGTCCGCTGCACTTTGCTGTCAAATATTAACAGATCCTTAAATTTTCTTCTAAGGTCACATGCAAGGTTTTTCAGAATGTTCTTTCATGTAAGCCTTTAAGTTCAAGGAACATCAGATTCCGAACTGAATATTGTCAAGTTCAACTTGATCCGACACTCACTGAGTCTCACGTTTTGCAATATGTGTCCATGTTGTGTAAGCTTGGTATTATAATTAATATAATAAATTGAATATGACCTCTTGGATTTTGCGATAGAATGGATGTATTCATGTTATGAAAGGTTGGGATATAATCCTCTGCTCTTGTTGTTAAATTTACTTTTGTTCTGGCAAATTTGTTAATTTCATTATGTTCACTTTTTACAAAACATTTCATTTTTAACGAAAACACCGTTGTGTCCACTTTACAGTGTTGTGTGGCTAAAAGGGGGCAAACTGTCGAAGGAAGGTTGTCGAATTTATTATGACAGGCGTCAATTTTTTTTGCCTTTCGACAGTGGACCAGTGGTGTGGCGAGGCCCATGCTCCGCAACTCTTCAAATGTGCAAAATGAGAACGGATCTTTCTCTACAGATGGCAGGATACACACCCATATTTCTCGTCTTTTGTGCATGTGGAGAGTAGTGGAGCGAGGTGCCCACACAGCAGATGAAGGAGGTTTTGGGTGAATTGTTTTTTCTCTACAAAAGGCAAGAGCGGGTCTCGCATGACGCGGCCCGCTGAGACCTTTTTCCCATGCGGGTCCGGCGCACCATGGGCCCGGAACAGTTTTTTGTTTATGACCATTTTTTTTATTTTTTTTCCGTAGTGTGGAGTTCGAGTCCGGCGGGTGGCAGTTGAAGTGTGGTTTTTCGGGTTCTTTTTTTTTTGGTTTCGTAATGTGAGGGTCGAGTTTGGTGGGCGTTGGGCAACGATCGAAGTGCAGTTTTTCGGTTTTCTTTTTTTCATTTCCTAGTGCGAGGTTCGAGTCTGGTGGGAGCCTGGGAGGCAATCAAAGTGCAATTTTCGATTTTCATTTTTGGTGGCGACGTTTTTTTTTCCCGGAGGGGTGGGCGGCGGGTGTGAACGGCACGTGGAAACGAGCCCGCCAAAGTTTCGGGTGGGTTGGTAGGTGGCCTTCTATCGAGGGTGCGGCCAGCCTGCTGGAGTTTCGCGTGGGTTGGTTGGCGCCTGTCGATCGAAGGTGCGGGTATGGCAAGCGCAAACGTGTGATATCGTGAATGTGTGTGTGTGTGCCTTTATGTATGTGTGTGTGTGTGTGTGTGTGTGTGTGTGTGTGTGTGTGTGTGTGTGTGTGTGTGTGTGTGTGTGTG